GAAGTGGGGGGAGCACTGTGTATTAACTCTTTAGGTGCCTTTAGGTCCAAATGCTGCCAGTTCCATACTCTGCCCAGCTCCCGGTGACTTGGTCTCTCACTGCAGTCACATGCACAGTGCAAGCTGCTCAGAACTCCTGGAAGGTTGGCTGTGGTCCTCATGTGATATCAAAGAACCTCAGGGATCGAAACTGAAACAGGTAAGTAGAACTATTTTATTACAGGATAAAGTGTGAGAGGACTTATTAGGAGGGTTGGCTAGGACTTTGGGACACCAGGGCACGTCAAAAGGCAATATTAACCATTTCAGGGCCAGAGTATTGGGCATCCCCTGGCCCCTGGTATATAAAGAAGTTAACCACTTCTGGATTTAACCTCTTAAGGACGGCGGGCGTACTATGCTGTCCTTGGGGACTGGCTCTAAACGTCGGCAGGTGGCATACCATGTCCCTGCCATCCTATATACTTACCGGGTTGCCGGCGATCGCGGTGTGGGGACTCACCTGGCATCCCAGAGAGTCCCCCTGCTTCCGTTCCGGCTCCCCTTGGCCATGTGATTGCCAGGTCCTTGCGAGGACCCCACGATCACATGGACAACGTAGCCGTCCATAGAAGTGCTAGCAGGGGGAGTGCATGTAATGACAGGTACTTCCCCTTGCTGCCTGAAAAAAAAAAACTGTTTAAAACAGTTTAAAATTAAATTATATATACTTAGATCATATATATATATTATATAAATGATCTAAGCATATGTTTAAAGGCCGTTTGGCCTGTATTTGTGGGAGGGGCTTAAATTAATTCACTCCCCTATATAAGGGACACCCCTTACCTGACTCATATCGCTTGAGGTCAGCATCAGAATGATTTCCACTTCCGGGTCATCCAGACGCCATTTTACCTGATTACTCCATGAGGTTTTCTAAGCTGAGCTGTGTCAGGAATTCAGCCACAGGCTTTTCCGGCCTTCCACATTCTTTCTTCAATCTATCGCTGTTGTTGGTGTCCAAGTGACTCACAAACCGTAAGTCGACCTACCCGTTACGCCAGGCATCAGTCCCACGGCACCATGCACGGGTCAGGTCCTCACTTTAAGGCTGCCTTTTGTCTAAATCTGTCCTAAAAACCATTGCATGTTCATGCATATCATTCATTTAAATTCACTTGTTTATATCTGTCACTGGCTCATTTCGAGCATTAGCATACTTCCAAACGGGAACACATTCTGTTTCAATTGCCTAAACATACTAGGCAATTCTGTGCGTGCATTTCGAATCTCACTGCTCGTTTCGTTTTGTTTCCCTGACATACTAGGCTCACGGTTCGTGTAATTTTCTACCAAACGGGAACTAGTTCATGCATTTACTATTGTACTACACAAACGTTTCGTGCGTTTACAACCCACGAACAGAACTTTGGTTTGTTACAATGACTGTTATTAAGCTATTATGTTCACTTATTGTATATTGTCAAACGGGCACTGTTTGTTACCCTGTCATACAACTATAATGCTGGGGCATAGCTCATGAACAATGTTTCACATAAACCACACTGACTCCTACAGGTCACTCTCAAAATCTCACATTAACCTTGCATTTGGATTAACCCCTTAAGGACCAAACTCTGGAATAAAAGGGAATCATGATATGTCACACATGTCATGTATCCTTCAGGGGTTAAAGGGTATTTTACCATACAATCAGCATTTCTGACCCCTACTGGTCAACAGCAAAAGTGTCTTGACATGTCATATACAATTACCAGCCAATATAAATTACACATAAGATTGTTTTAAACATAACCATAAACCATAAATTAAACTCCAACACGGGCTCAACTTCAGGTTTAATTCACAATAATTTACATTTCACATCAAGACTAACAGTGGTTCTATCAACACTGCCACCTACAGGTCTGTCAAGTACATTGACAATTTTCATGGGGTTTTACAAACACCAAAACACTGACCCCTATAGGTCAACAGACAAACAACATTTCACATACCAATCAGTATCAACTACACTGCCACCTATAGGGCACTCGGCAGATCTCCAGTGCACTTGCATTTTGCAACACCATGTTCACTGACCATTCAATAAGGCATAAAACAATTCACATAGCAAGCAGTATATCAACATCTGTTATAAATACACATATTATTACACAGTAGCACACGCATCTGTATATACGTAACTGGTAATATGGTTCACATACATACGGCACTTAATGGGTTAAGATTGATACATATTTAACCAGTATGGATATGATGTTTAATATTTACATATCACGGCACTTTACTTTCACATATACTGTATGTTTTAAGATAAGCTTGGTCTATGCCATATTTCCTTATGCCATACGATTTTATCCATTCAGGTTACAGTTACTACTAAAAAACCTATACGGATTGTCAGGTTCAATACCATACTACCAGGTACATACACCTGCTCACGTAGTTATCCATCTCTTACCTTCCCTGGAATAGTAATAGTGTACTGGCAATTAGGGTTCTAGGGCCCAATAGGTATTACCCCTTTTTTCTCTGCATTATGCTTCGGTTAGTGGTCCCGCGAGGCCAACACCCCGCCTCACACTCGGAGGCATACACCCCTCGGGCCACTCGTGAGCTAGCCGCCTCGCATTGTATCATAGAGAGGGCCTCACCTGTCACTCCCCTTCCTATTTTTCTGGTTACTGTCACCGAGAGGCCAACATCCTGCCACAACGTTCGGTGGCCACACAAAATCCCCTCGCGCCAAGCATAGATAGAGCCTCTCAAGCCACTTGGCAACTAGCAGGGCCTCACCAGTCACCAAAAAACACCAAGCCTAATCGTTTCGCCTTACGGCTTAGCTAGCAAGCCGGTACAAGACCCCTGGGTACAAATATATAATTGCAATTTTATTGTTAAGTATTTCTCAAAAAGATGGTAAAGAATCACCTCTTCCTAGCACCACGGCTAGAAGTGATACACCTTCATCTCTTACCTTCCCTGGAGTAGTAGTAATGTACTGGCAATTAGGGTTCTATGGCATAATAGGTATTACCCCCTGTTTTCTCTGCTTTACGCTTTGGTTAGTGGTCCCACGAGGCCAACACCCCTCGGGCCACTCGTGAGCTAGCCGCCTCGCATTGTATCATAGAGAGGGCCTCACCTGTCACTCCCCTTCCTATTTTCTGGTTACTGTCACCGAGAGGCCAACATCCTGCCACAACGTTCGGTGGCCACAAAAAATCCCCTCGCGCCAAGCATAGATAGAGCCTCTCAAGCCACTTGGCAACTAGCAGGGCCTCACCAGTCACCAAAAAACACCAAGCCTAATCGTTTCGCCTTACGGCTTAGCTAGCAAGCCAGTACAAGACCCTGGGTACAAATAATAATTGCAATCTTTATTGTTATTTAAGTATTTCTCAAAAAGATGGTGAAGAATCACCTCTTCCTGGCACCCCGGCTAGCAGTGATACACCTTCAAGCAGAGGAGATGTGGCTCCGACCTAAGGAGGCGACAAATCCCCTACCCTGCCAGAGCAAGGAAAGCAGAGTTATTCAAACGCCTCCCAACGGACAGCACGGAGGCAGGGGAAAGCCCAGCAACACCAACTCAGGTGACACCCAGGCCATGCTAGCCTCACTCATAAACTCATGAGCCAAAAAATTTATGACAGACTGGCAATCTCGAGTCGGTCACAGCCCTCACAAGGCTGGGCCTCACGCTACTGTACAACCAGCACCAACCGAAACTAGGTTACCTGGTACAATCAATTCTTGGTACAAGACGTTAACCCTGCACATATGATCCCGGCACATTGGGGAAACAAGGCATATATATGTATGATGATGTATCTATGATGATCAGAACCAGGGATTCTAGGTAAATTGGGAACTGACCATCTCTTGGTTGTGTTGGCATTTGGAATATGTAGAGATGCTTATTTGTGCAGGTACCCATACAGAAGGGATTTTCTCCCAAACAAACGGACGAGCACTCTCAGGCTCCAGGTACCAGCACCTCTGAACTACCAGAGACAATTGGTATTAGTAGTTGCATTGCATATAGACTGTTGCATATATGTTCAAATCATTCAGGGCACATGACAAACAATGTGTCCCAATACAACTTACAAATAACGTACTCACCATCTGTACACACCAATGCATTTTCAACACTACTGACTCATCATCCTTCCAGACTTGTAGTAGATTTACTAAGGCTCTGGAGCTTCAAAGGGCTCCCATACATGTATCATAAATAAACCCTCAAGGAATATAGCATGCCCTCACTTACAGTCAGCACAACAGAACCGTCGGCTGTAAACACACATAGCCAAGATTTGCAGAGGGGTTTTTACTTGGGTTTTCCAATCTCCACCATTTACAGCATGGCACCAAACACATTGGTATTGTCACAAGGGAATCTTCCCTTAAACAAAGACTAACCATAGACTTATTGGCACCACACACCTTCGCTACCCCAAGTCTCAACTCCCTCATACCCTCCGAGGAGTTTCCTTACTATACACACCATTGATCTACCTTTACAGCTATCACTCAAGCATGGGTTGAAGCTTTGTTAAGTAAGACCAATATCATCAACACAGTAAACTGCTAACATCTACCCTACAAACTGGCACTTACATGGCATAAAATGGGCAATACTTTCCCCGCTAAAAGCAGCTGCTGTGGCATGGGGTAAATGATGGTCAGGGTCATCAATCCGTTGTTACTCAGACAACTAAGCACATGTCATATCATCAACAAATGCCACTCATCATCCATACGACCATGGTATTGCTGGGGAACTCACTTGGTTGGCCACTTACCACATTTCTTTTACTTTCATGTACCAGGCGGGGGTATACATCCCTGCCGACAATTGTCTCATTTATATTCCAGGCATGTTCATCATACGCTTCCTACAGCCGCCCATACAGTCACGGCCACTCTTTCGTTCCAGAGACAAAATCATGGATTAGACATACTCATGCAGCATAGCATGCACTATCCCACCTAGCACTTTCATCCCATACTTGTAGAACGCATAACACAGCTATTCACCTGGCTTTAAAGAATCTCATTGGAACACGACATAGCTCAACCTGTTTAATAACATTTCTCCTAGGTTTTGCTTCATTTTTTGCCACCTTAAACTAAAACCATCTCACACACCATTAATTATATATTTTACAGGCATTCAACAACAGAGGATAACCTATGGCCAAAACTACCATAACTTCATGCTATCATACCAGACAAGAATATACTATACTATCCCCTCACGTTCCACTCAGAGATTACCAATAGCCATCCAACTTTTCCATCCTTATCGGACCTATTAGAGCTACAACCATTCAATTATACTACCAAGTCGGCCATTACCGGCCATTTATGCCTTTCTCAGGCCAGAGAATCCACTACCATAACCACCACTCAGACAGATCATTGTCTTCAACGATCCCACGTATGTAAACACATATATCATTACCTATTGGCTCTACCACATTCCGAAACGAGTCAACACACACCAACAGTAGAGATAACATACTATCCTACCCACAACAAATGGTGTCCAGTTGCGGTCCTAGATTCCTACCTTCAAAATCCTTCAAGGAATTAAATACCGTAATGCATTTAAGGAAATGTCTGGTTAATTTGTATATATTGTTGACTGTATTAAATCTTTGATTATTCTTTTTGCCCTCTTTATTTACAGGCCTACCGTATCGTCGGTCTCGGCACACCACAACCGACTTGCTCCCTTTATACTATCCTACACTTATGCTGGAACCTTACTCCATATACGGCTATTTGCCCCGAACACAAGTTTTAAGGCCGTTTGGCCTGTATTTGTGGGAGGGGCTTAAATTAATTCACTCCCCTATATAAGGGACACCCCTTACCTGACTCATATCGCTTGAGGTCAGCATCAGAATGACCCTCCCACCCACTCCTCATTTCAACACTTTCTCTTTTCTTTCCATTTACTTTACTTACTTACTCCTTGGTGGGCCCTCTTTATTTACAGGCCTACCGTATCGTCGGTCTCGGCACACCATATATATATATATATATATAATTAGACAGTGTATGTGTATATGTATATATATATATATATATATATATATATATATTCCCTGGCCATATCCATGGCAGCACAACAATGGGTAGCTCCTCCCCTATCCCTAATTAGACAGGAACTAATTAAAATAAAGGTACAAATACCCCCTCCTACCTCCTCCCTCAGTCTTTTTGTTCCTGTCCTATACCTGTAGGACCAGATTAGTCTATTACAATTTTTCTTTTTGGCTTACCTGAGGGTCTTTACCTTCTGCCCCCAAGGGAGTTCAGCCTCTCTTCCTTGGGAAGCTTCAGTACCCGGCCCTGTGCAAAGGTGTTCCCCTGAAGATACCCCCTTAGTGACCGGGGGTTTGCTTGCTGTAACCCTAGGGGTAGCAAGAGAGAAAAAATGCCAATAAAACTCTTATTCCCTGTAGTGACCAAGAGGTAGCAGGAAGTGGCGAGAAGATTATATATCCTGGAATCATCCTTATATTTCTCCATATTGACAGCCCACATGTTGGTATACGTATAAATACTTTTCATATATACTGTATTTGGTATACCTATTTTTGTGGGGTTTCCCTCCTGCCTTAACAGTTTTCTTCACACATACGGCAATCTTGAAAATTAAGCCTCCCATTAAGCCTATTACTCCACCTTGGTATCTTCCTCTGGTCCTTAAAGCTTTGAAAACAGATCCCTTTGAACCATTAGATTTCTTGTCATCTCCTCACTATCTAGACGGTTCTATTGGTGGCCTTAGCCTCTGGTAGAAGTGTGTCAGATCTTCAGGCTCTTTCTGCTGAAGAGCCTTTTACTATTTTTCATAAGGACAGTCATTCTAAGAACAGTTCCAGAATTCCGTTCTAAGGTAACTTCAGGGTTCCATGTAAATGAAGAGATAATACTCCCTGCATTGATTTCAGAAGAATCAAACAACGGAGAAGACTCTGATTTGAGAGCTATTGACTTAGTGATATGCCTCAAGATATATGTATAGAGATCTTCAGAATGGCGTAGTTCAAAAAGGCTTTTTGTTATTCCTAACGGCTCTAGGAAGGGCCTCCAAGCGTCTAAAGCCACTATCAGTAGATGGATAGTTGTGGCTATTATCCAATCATATAAAGCATCTAAAGCAAGAATCCCTGAAGGTTTAAAAGCACTCTCTACACGTTCTCTCTCCTCATCCTGGGCAGCTGCTGCGAGAGTTTCGGCAGAACTGATTTGCAGAGCGGCCACTTGGTCATCCTCAAATACATTTATCAGACATTATCATTTAGACGTAAAGGCTGGACAATACGATACATTTGGCCGATCTGTTCTTTCTGCATCCATTGATTAATTTTCCTTTTACAATGTTTGTCACGTATGGTTAATTGTGCTAATACACTTGTATTATATAATATTTGTCTGAGTTTTTCTTTCCCTCCCTTGGTTTTAGCTTGGGTATTACCCATTGTTGTGCTGCCATGGATATGGCCAGGAAAGAGAAAAATTTACTCATACATACCGTAATTTTCTTTTCCTGGTCATAGGCCATTGCAGCACAAGGATCCCACCCAGGGATATTGCTGTTAACTAGATTGAGGGAGGAGGTAGGAGGGGGTATTTGTACCTTTATTTTAATTAGTTCCTGTCTAATTAGGGATAGGGGAGGTGCTACCCGTAGTTGTGCTGCCATGGCCTATGACCAGGAAAAGAAAATTACGGTAAGTATGAGTACATTTCTCTCTCTCTCTCTCTATATATATACATATATATATATATATATATATATATATATATATATATATATATAAATATCAAAATACATGCAGCATGATATTGATTAAATATATAAAATTATATATATATATAAAATAAAAAATATGTAAATACGTTAAAAATAAATAAATTATATATATATATATATATATATGCTATTTCGTTCTAACTGTATTTTGATATTAATATATATAGATATCAAAATACACGTAGAACGAAATAATATATATATATATATATATACACACATAAGTATATACTTATATCTCAATATATATACATATATATACTATATATAAATAAAAATAATAAAAAAAAATTATATATATATAATATAGACACGTATATATATATAATAATTCTACGTATATATTTATGTAATAATTTTATTTAGTCATTTTATTAATTACAATTTTTGGGACCTGCCTGACAACCCAGACCAGGGAATTTAATTTGCTATCACTATATTTAATCCTGTAACTTTCCAAGACACAGTGGCATACTAAGGGGGGGCGGAGGGGGCGGTCCGCCCCGGGTGCCACCAGGGTGGGGGGTGCCTTGGGAGGGGGCGCCACCAGGAGCGCCGGCCCCCCTCCTGCTGCAGCCGCCCGAGCGCTCTGCAGAGAGCCTCAGGCGGCTGCAGCTTTGCCCGCCCGGGCGCAGCCTGAGGAGAGGGGCTGACAGGAGGGAAGCGCTCAGCGCTCCCTCCTGTCACTCCCTCCCTGTAGTGTGGCCAAGCCCTGTATCATGGTCCGCGGGTACAGGGAGCATCTGTCTACTGTACCCGGCCGGACTAACAGGAAGTACACACTGAGTGTTCACTGAGTATGCCACAAAAGCTCCCTGTACCTGCGGACCATACAGGGCTCGGCCACGCTACAACAGTGGTGGGGGGGAGGAATAAAGAAATTGGGAGGAGGGAATAATAAAGAAATTGAGGGGCGGGGGATAAAGAAATTGGGAGGGCGGGAGGAATAAAGAAATTGGGGGAGGAATAAATAAATTGAGGGGGAGAATAAAGAAATTGGGGAGAATAAAGAAATTGGGGAGGAATAAAGAAATTTGAGGGGGGGGAGGAATAAAGAAATTGGGAGGGGAGAAAGAAATTGGGAGGAAAAGAAAGAAATTGGGAGGGATGAAGAAAGATTGGGGAACAAAGAAATTGGAGGGGGATAAAGAAAGATTGGGGGGCATAAAGAAAGAAATTGGGGGGAGAAGGAAATTGGAGGGGGGGAGAGATTGACATTCATCACACACAATGCACCACTTGCACACAGAAAAACACACAATGCATCACACACACAATGCATTACACACAGACACACATACACAAGCAATGCAACCATTACACACAATGCATCCCTTACACACACAGAAACACACAATGCATTCATTACACACACTTAATGCACCCCTTACACACACTCAATGCATCCCGCACATACACAGAAACACACCTTGCATCCCTTACACATACAAACATAGATTTACACAATGCATTCCTTACACACATATCAGGACATCCCCTACACACTCCACCCCCTGTGGACAAACTCATTGGTGGAACATGAAGGTGGACCCTGGGACCCAGACCTTGAGCTGTGTAAAGGGCCCCCAAAAATGGAGCTGCTTCCCGTTCTCCCAGAACATTGATTTTTGTGACCACAGTTACAAACCGCCTCCAGAGAGCCTGTTCTACACCAGACCAGTGGAGCCAGACGGCAGCTAGAGCCCATCATCCTCATCTGGTTGTAAGTAGGCAATCTAGTATATTATTCGTGGCACTAAGCTCTAATTTACCTCACATTAAAGAAACACTATAGTCCCCATAACCACTGCAGCTTAATGTAGTGGTTCTGGTGTCTAAGGCCTGTCCCTGCAGGCCTTTTAATGTAAACACGGCGGCACTGCAGCACTGGCGTTAGTTAACATGGCAGATCATATGGGTGGGGCATTGTGATGTCACATGGGGGGACCAGGGGGTGCCAAGCACAGAATCCGCCCGGGTGCCAAATGCTCTAGGTACGCCCCTGCCAAGGCATCATAAAACCTATACATGGTGGGTACTGTTTTACACAAATATGTGTTTTAAAACAGTAAAATGTATTACAACGATGATCTCGTCATTGAAAGTGAAATTTTTTGCATTTTTAACACACAAATGGCACTTACACTGATGATATTGTTGTGATACGTTTTACTGTTTTGAAACACTAATATTTGTGTTCAGCGAGGTCTCACGAGTATAACAGTACTCCACATGTACAGGTTTTATGGTGTTTTCAAAAGTTACAGAGTCAAATATAAGGCTTGTGTTTCAGTTTTTTCACATTGAAATTCGCCAGATTGGTTACGTTGCCTTTGAGAGTGTATAGTAGCCCAGGAATG